CTACAAGGCAGACGTGTTCCTTCAAATGGAAAATGCTCAAATTGGGAACAATCAGCATAATTCGTTGGCTCTGGTGCCAAAGACCCTTGTTGCATTTTAAACAGACTGGTTAACTCTTGGCTCCTAGTGCACCTTGCCACTGTACTGGCAAGTGATACCAATGGTCGTCTCATTCTTAATGCTGTCCAAATTCCTTAAGATCAACTTGACATTTTAACACTAAATTCATGGAGCTTGTTTTCAAAGGCACCACTGGATTGTTCGATGCATCATCTGCTTCTTGGTTCTCTTGGTGATTATCAGCTCAAATGGAAAGTAACCAAATGTGAAGGACCTAGTTGGCAAACTCTCTGCTTGGTGCCATCCACAGAAATGCTCTATTAAGAAGAGCAAAGATGCAACAGTTTGTTTCAGACATGCACAATTTAACTGATAAGAGTCAACTTTTTAGATTACCTCTACCTTTTTCTCTGCACACGTGGCTTACCAAAACCCAACTCATTTCACCACTGAGGCTGAGAATAGCAATTCTGCATCTCCACTTGCTATCAATTAGCCATGAATCTCTCTCATCTCTCCCTGCAAATATTGGTGTTTCACTAGATTGCAAGCAGCACATACATCTTGCTTCAGAAACATATCTTTCTTTGAGATCTGAAAGCAGTAATATGCAATGACCTTCAGACTTTTGTTAAATGCTATACCTTAATCTCTCAAAATCAAAAGACTGGTAATTCAGTTCATCAGGTAGCTGATACTCCTCTTTCTGCTTATTCAGAGTATCTGTTACCTGACTACGACTGGGATCTATGCAAACATCTGAAGAAGGATCTGAGACACTATATAGTAATTGTAGAATTTCAAGATGATAACATCTGCCTATATGGAAACTTTGTACCTCATTTTGAAGCTTGTTTTTAGCAACGGCTTTGAATTGCAAAGGCAATGGGAGAGGGTGGCAGCTGTTTTTCCTTTCTTGCTGGTATACAGGAGCAGATGAAGACAGAAGGTACTTGAATAGCTTCATGAGGCACTAGGCACTATTCACAAGATCCCAAATGTAAGCACATACAGTTCAATCCATTCTGGCTACTTGACCTTGAAAAACTGCACTAAGGGAGAGTAATTATTTTTTCCTGCTTAGAGCTGGGTACAAATTGTTTTACAATAATACAAATGGTCCTTTTGTTTTTGGGGAAAAAAGAAATTAATAAAATTAATTAATGCCTGTGGGTTTACAGAGGTAGGGCCTCTCAGTTTTGGAATCAGAAAGAACTGGGGTTTTTTTTCTGTGAAAGGAGCCTAGAATATGCTGGTTACTCTCAGGTTGGACAGCCTTGAAATAGCAAAAGACAAAAACTGGTTTATTTATAATCTTTCATTTTAGTAATTGCAAAGTGTACTGCTTCAGATTTGAGCTTACTTACTTACATTTTTCCCAGGACTACTTTATTCTTCAAAACAGCTTTTTGATTTTAAACAAACAAATCCCCAAACTTTCATTTTGAAATGGTCAAAACAGGAGATGGAGAAAATAGTTCTTTCCTGAAAAAGTTCTTAAAATATTGGTCCGTTCCAAAAATAGGACTCCCAACCAGTCCTACTGAAGACCCACCAAGCAGACCTGTCCGGTAACATGTCAAGCTGTCAGCCTCCTCTCAAAGCCCCCCAAGCTGAGTCTTCCACAGCCCATCTCTTGTGCTGCCCCCTCCACCCCCCTTACTACAAACTCTCCGTCGG